TACCAACATCTGCATTCTGAAATTGACAAAATAAACAATCAAGATGTATGGATAATTATTGATGATTAGAATGCAAAAGTTGGAAACAAAGAATCATTGGTAGTTGGAAAATATGGCCTTGGTGACAGAAATTTTGCTAGAAATCACATGATAAAATTTTGTAAGACCAATGACTTATTCATTGCAAATACCTTTTTTTTTTCAACAACATAAATGGTGGCTATTTATGTATCTATCACCAGATAGAATTTACAAGAATCAAATTGACTACATCTGTGATAAAAGGTGATGGAGAAACTCAACATCATCAGTTAAAATAAGGCCAGGAGCTTACTGAGGAACAGACTATCAGTTGATCATATGCAATTCCAGGTTGAAGCTGAAGTAAAATAAAAGAAGTCCATGAGAGCAAGAATATAACTTTAATTATATTCCACCTGAATTTAGATCATAACTGAAGAAGAAATTGGATGCACTGAACACCAACAACCAAGGACCAGATGAGTGTAGGATGATATAAAGATCATCATACATGAAGAAAGCAAAAGGTAATTAAAGAGTCAGGAAAAGAAGAAAAGAACAGAATGCATATAAGAACTGACTCTGAAACATGTTCTTGACTGGAGAGTAGCTAAAGGGAATGGAAGAAATGATTAAATGAAAAAGCTAAACAGATTTCAAAGGGCAGCTCAAGAACATAAAGCATTATAATGAAATGTGAAAAGACCTGGAGTTAGAAAATGAAAAGGGAAGAACATACTCAGAATTTCTCAAGCTGAAAGAACTGAAGAAAATATTCAAGTCTCAAGTTTACATATTGAAGTATTCTCTAGCAAAGATATTGAATGATGCAGGAAGCATCAAAAGAAGATGAAAGGAATACACTGATTCACTTTATCAAAAGAATCGGCTAATGTTCCACTATCTCAGGAGGTAGCATATGATCAAGGACCAATGGTATTGAAGGAAGAAGTCAAAGCTGCACTAAAGGAATTGGTAAAAAAAAAAAAAAAAAAAAAACAAGGCTCCAGGAATTGATGGATTACCCATTGAGATGTTTTAGCAAATGGATGCAGTGGCTGTAGGTGCTTACTCATTTATGCCAAGAAATTTGGAAGACAGCTGCCTGCCAACTAATTGGAAGAGATTGATATTTGTTCCTGTTTTGGTTACCTCTGTGCTGTTCTAACAGAAAATATCACAAATGAGGTGGCTTGAACAAACAGCGATTTATTCTCTTACAATTTGGAGGTTTTAAGTCCAAGTTCAAAGTGCCAGGCTTTAGGGGTTGGGCGAAAGCCCCTCTACCTTGGGCTTCTGCTCTGCCTCCTACTCCCAACACACTGAAGCTAGAGGCTTTTCTTCACTCAGACAGCTTCTGGCTGCTGAGGCTGAAAGGCCCAAGGTTGACAAGTAAAA